GGGCCTCGATAGCACGGAATGGCTGTTAATTGCGCACAGGCTACTAAATATAATAGGCATTGACTTAATGTCAGCCCAGTTGTCGGATATGAAAAGTAAATAGCTGATTCTTCAAACACAGTCCCTTTTTTGGTTATTTAGAAGTGATTATCGCTTTTGTAACCGTGTTCAAAATGCAATAGGTAAGGCCTCAAGTTTACCGAACTGTAACTGTTCAGAATCAATCCGTCACATCTCAGTTACACCTTGCATGCAAATTTTAAGAGAAAACTACCTAAGCCTTTTATATTGAATAATAAAAAACCCTTGAAATACGAGATATATTTCGCTTAATGCTCATTCGCATTTGAAATCTGCATAACTAAAAGCATCATGTCATAGTATATTGAATTTAAAGACACATCATCCATTAACTAGATAGCAAAAAATTCATCCCCATTTCGCCTGCAAATCGACTGTGCTTTTCCAGTCTGTGAATCGAGATAGCGACTTAGTCCAATGAGGACTTAATAGTGCTTAGTATGACATATTTTATTATCTTTCGTGGATTGTTAAGAAAAGGGTGGTGGCTAACTCTTATAAATACTGTAAATACTGTTGTTACAAGCTTCCTTTTAGTCCTCGTTGGTTTACTTATGAAAGTCAATATTTTCTTTGGAAAAAAAATCTCATTTTTTTTCTTAAAACTTGATTTAAAATCCCTTCAACAAAGTCTTAAAAAAATTTTACTTATTAGGTTTTATTAGGTTTTTGAAAATAACAACTACCTCTGTTTCGTCAGGTTTTTTCCTCAGTGTTTTGATCACGGGCCTTCGTTTTCTACTTTACGTTCATTTCATTGGAAGGCCGGACAGGTGTATTTGCAGACTTGCAAAATAACCAAACTGACTGTAGAAATTGAACATAATTTTAAAAAGAGTGGCGCGATTGTAGTGTTTTAGCGAAATCGTTTTCTAACGGATGTTCATTATTTATAAGCAGATTGAAAATTTTGAATAACGCTTGGGGTAACAGTCTATTCTTGACTATTAAAAACGTATTGCAAAGAAATGAAACAGAAATATATTGAAAGCAAAACAGTTTAAATGCCATACTGCCAAAAGACAATGTTTTCCCTTTCGTAATTGATGATTTTGAGTCATGCTTCATCCTATACGTGAGCGTATATTGTAAGGTGCGAAGCGTTATGTAACCCTTGCTACAACAATAAAAGAACAGACCTAATGGTTGCTAAGAACCACTGTACGAAAAGTAACTTCTAGAATAGGGTAACTCATTGATATGCTTCAAACGCCGGCAACCACGAGATTTGAAAAGAACGTTTGAATGAAAGGAAAAATTTATATAGTCCTTTAGGGCTTGTATTCATTTAGTTTGGCAGCTGAGGTTTTATTATCATGAATAACAAGACACATACGATACACACGGCTATAGTCAGACCCGATTTGCGTGATGTGATGTTCTATATATACAAGGAAATTTTCATAATTATAACCCAGCAGTAAAGAGCCTCCGCATTCCCTTAAGTTATCATTGAAGATTCCAGACTGCACTCTACCCCGAATAAACGAACATGAGAGCAAGGGGTCTAAATTACCTCAGGCGCCTGTAACTGAGACTGTCTGAATCAAATTCCGCGTTTGATAAGTACAGTTTGTAAATATAGAGGCATCTTGTGACAGGGAAGGTGAGCAATAGTATTGCTTTCTCTTTCTCTTTTCCAAAAACTCTCAGTACAATCAGGTTGTTCCTGATCATATTTGTTACTTATACCACACGTTCATTTTGGCATTAAACTGATATACGTGTTTCGGTTGAACTTTATCCTTGGTTTAAATTTGGTTTGGTTTCAAAGAGGCTATTTTCCTCTCTTTTAAACTCATTATCATACATTACCATACCTGAAAGTAAAACAAAATAAGATTTAAGCCAGGGATAACATTCAAGTACAATATGTGGTTTTCCATTCTGATTAAGGTATGTGTTCTGGGTTTGTAATCCAACTTCGTAACGATATAGTAAAGTGAAAGATGTACTTTACAAACGGTGGATTGTGACCGAAAATTCAAGATATTTATAATAATTCCCCCACCGTCTCTTGAATTTGTTACTGCAAGTTTCGTGGAAACCAAACTTTATTTAATCTTTAGCAGGCAGCGTAGGTGCTTGCCTTCGGTTGATAGTATCTTGGTTGTCTCTGTTTGGGAAGAGTTCTAGTGATTTCGAGTCGCTCGTTTCGACGGGGACAGAGTCTTGCGGGGCCCTGAAATTCATTCCACGGGACAGTCCCTTTAATGCGTCGCGAAACGTTTTGCTACGTATCCAGTACACGGCTGGGTTGACAACGGACGTGAAGGCCACAGAAAACGTTGATAGTGTTCTGGCGAATCGAGGTACACCTACTTCGGTAAACATTAAAAACCCCAGGACAATTGTAGGTAGATAACACAGAGTGAATAGACAGATTACGATAAATATTGTCTTCGTCAGTCTAACTTCTTGGGCCTGAAAAATTCCTAGCTGTCTTGGACACGAGTCTTTCGCAAACATTGTATCCACCCTACCACTTCTTGTTTTCATGGCTTTGAAAATCTTCGAGTAACAAGCCACAATTACAGTCGAATTGACCATCAAGAAGATAAACAGAAACGTATTATATATTAAAGGGCTTGAGTTGTGATCGTGGATGCATAGCCCGTAGTAAGGTTCAAACTTGTAATTTCCCCATCCAAGAAGCGGCGCTGAAGCAAAAAGAAGCGAAGCCAACCAAATCAGGAAAATCATTTGACATACCGTTTTTAATTTGAACTTTGAACGGTGCTGTACCGGGTGAACTGTGGCGTAATATCTAGTGATGCTTGTAACTGCCAAGGTAAGAAGACTGCATGAATAGGAAGCGTACGATTGGAAAGCTTGGAAGTTGCAAACATTCTTGGAAAATTTCCAGGCGCCATTGACCAGAACTGACACAAGGAGCGGCAAGCTCACCACTGCACTGAGGATATCTGTAACGGCGAGATTTAACAAGAGAAAGTTTGGCACTGTTCTCAGCAGCTTATGTCGTGAAATTGCCAGGCACACGATAAGGTTACCAGCCAGCGCAAGACACAGAAAAAACGGTGGCAATGCTCGACTCCAAAACGACTATCAAAGTCGGGCGAGGTGGCAGAGATGTTACATTCATACTCAAAATTAGATGTTCCGCGGTTATTTTAAAGTGGCATTTTCTTACTTCAGTTGATATGAACGTGTCATTGCCATGTAATTAGTGATGCGCGTCTAGCAGGGGTTTTGCATTAAAATCCGTTTATGACTTATTCATTATTGAGCGTTTGCACCTTGCGAAACTAATATTTTCTCAAACGAATTGATTATGGCCAATAGCTTAACTTACAGCTTTGATTGTCTCGTCGACGCTATCACGTGGTAAAAAGGAAAAAAACACTTTGTCCTTGCTTAGTGAGCTGAAGACTGAACTTGACTTTCCCTTTAAGCGAAATATTTTCTTTATGTGTCAAAGGCCTGCTTTCCTTTTTTCTCTCTAAAAACAATTATTTCTTATCTTCGGTCATTTGAGGGTGATCAAAAAATAAACGGAAATGAATTTGGCTAGAAGCAGGCACTGACCGTCGGCGTAAGATATTTATAGTCTACGATTTAAATCATCAGTCAAATGTTTAATTTTCCTAACAACAAAAACTTTCACTTCCAAATATCAAAATCACCATCATGATGATAAGTGCAACTCCCGTTCATGTTAAGTCAGCTCGAATAAAAGAAGCGTACTTTTTACAACTGAGATGGGCTAACAAGTGATGTCGATTTTTAACAAAACATTTATTAAGTGTTTGCATCAGACAATGTCAACATAAAAATGTCAGTATTCTACTTTTTTTCCTTTAATTAAATTTCTTTGAAAATAAGGGACGAGATACTCGAGACGACAGGTCTTTTTTTTTCTGCAAGGCTTTCTAAATAGTAATCTCCCTTTGGAAACTCTTGTTTAAGTAGATCTGATAGAAACATCAGGATACCGTAAACTGACGCTTATAAGCCCTGGGGGGCTTGTGCATCTTTGTCAGGGGCTTTAGGAGGGCTTATATCCGATCGGCTTATACTGAACCGGAATACAGCTCTAAAGTGTGACGTCATAAAAGTTAAAGCTGTGAAATTATGGGATTTGTCAAAATATTCTGAAAGACGACGCCCAAGACGCCTACTTGCAAACATAACATTTCGGGGTAAATTGTCTGATGACTCCATACTAATCCTTCTAAATTTGGGTCTAAAAGTTTAGACCCAAGTCAAATTTAGAAGGATTTGTAATAATTTCAAATCCCATAATTTCATAACTTTAATTTTTATGACGTCATCACTTTAGAACTCTATAGAAAAAGCCCTTCGAAACAAGTTATAGCATTGTTGATCAAAATACGTTTTGCATTTACTGTGATGTTAGAATTTGGCTTCAAAACGTCACAAATCGAGTTCAAATTATAAGGTTAGTCAAATTTGAATTCAATGATACCGAAACAAGATAACAAGCCTCACCCGTTTAATTAAGAAAAACTATTATTAACGGTACTTTGAAACTATTTTTAAGACATGGACAACAACTTTAAGTTTAAAAAAAGACATGTTTCGATCGTTCAACGATCATCTTCAGTTGTGAATTCGTTTGCAAGTTCGGTTGAATTAATACAAGCAATTACTTGGAAACCAATATTAAAAACACTAATAAAATCTGGAAAGGAATAAATAAAATAATCTCATTCAAAGAAGAAAGCAAATACGCAAAAATCAGTACGTCGCCTGGTCCGAAGGCTAATTCTTCAATATGAAGGAAATTTTATACTCTAAGCAGGCACTTCGCAATTGTAGGATACACTGATATATACAGAACAGCGTGATTTTAATATCTTTCTAGATCCACCTAAATTTTATTAAATTATTTTTACTTCGACTCCTTGGTTCCCGGGGACATCGAAGAAGAAATTAAAGCACTACCAAATAACAAAGCTAATGGATTTTATTCTGTGCCAGTCAGGATTGGGAGTTCTATAAAGTTATTCAAAATAGCATAAAGTTTAAGAATGCTATCGTAAAATGTTCTGCTAAAGTTGGCTGTGCGTAAATCACGATGAAGATATAATATTTAACGAAAATGCTAATTAAAAACTTCTAATCGATGATTAAGTCATCTTCAAGATCATCACTCAAAATGGACAATTTTAAATTTTGTGAATAGAAATAGCACAAGCAAAACGAAGACCGTACGCTTTGATTAACGTACCCAAAGGTTTAAAGAGTATGTTTTATCTTGTGCCGAGTTAGCCTCATCCCCAAAATCGCATTCTTCGGTTCCAGCATCATCAAAAGATGCCGCGTTAGCTTCTGTTATTCCAATTCCGTGGTCAGCACGTGAACAGGTCTTGCCTCCTCCGCCAATCATCATCACCGCTCCATCACCCGTGCTCCAGTCACACCAGAAACCGATTGCATTAGCACCTTGGATGTTTCCTTTGCATGTTGCCTGTTTGAAGCCTCCAGTTGTTGCGTACTGACCGCCATACTGAATAGTACAATGACCCAGACATCGGTTACTTGCCCAAATGGCACCTTTCCTAAAGTTACCAAACGCTGTGATTTTCGATCGAAATGTCCTTCCACCTAGACAGTTTCTTATCGTTTGCAAGAGAGCGATGTGCTGGCGGTCATTACTGCGCGTGATTTTCAACTCGTTACCTCCGACCGTCCAGAATGCGGGAGCGATCATGTCAGCATTGTATGATGGATCAGTCGTCCTTCCATAACTTGTTCTTCTGTCATACCACCAAAACCCAGAATCACTCATCCAGTTTTTGGCGTCTCTGTTAGAGAACCGAGCGAGGAGTGTCCAGCCTTGTCCAGAGGAAGTCATATCACAGTATACCTGAAAGAAACGATACACGAGTCTACAATATATGGCAACAGGAAAAGAGCGGAGTTATTAAAGTAATCAAATAGTTTACTCGTGAAATAAGAGAATAATTTCACGCCCGTTTCGTCCAAAAATTCTAATAACTTCCTGGCCTTCCGTCACCATTTGATTACAAATCACTACAAATTTAAGAATCACAAAACATAGATAATTATTCTTGTAGCACACACGCAACTATTCAACAGAGCAAGGCAATGTCCAACACCGCAGAGGTAAATTTGTAATGGCTTGAATGCTACAAATATTAATAGCTGATTAAAATTATAAACCCGTAAAGATGATACCTAATGTATATGTGGGTAAACGTTTGTTACCTTTGGAAATTTAAAGTTCTCTTCTAAAAAGGGTTACATTAACGCGAGCTTCTCGTGCAGATGCCTTCCAAAGATAAAAGGGAGTGGCAAAGAAATGGTGGGTACGATTAACATTTTAGTGTTACTTTTACATAATATTGAGATATACGCCTGATTGAAGAAACTTTGACACTAAAATAGGATTAACGTCATTAACCATGAACAATGAGGCTTAAACGATTTTTGGGAATACGCTAACTTAGCATTCCAATTAATTTTTTTTCCAAGAGAAGCAAGGAGTATTTTTAGCTCTTCCCAGAGAACGTTTAGGTCTCATCCTGTTATTATTTAAGTGTATGTTGGCGATGTGGCTACTATTTATTACAAGAGGGATTTCTGAAGAAACAATTGAGTCATGCTTAAAGGGTTTTCGCCAAGAAAAATGACAAGGATGTTTTACAAATTACAGACCTATAGCCAATATACCTTTCCTATCAAAAGTCATCGGAAGGTTGTCGCGGTTCAAACACATTGATATTCGGAGAAAAATCAGTTAATGCATTCTATGCAATCCGCCTACCGTAAACACCATGCTTGCTCTGTCAGCCGCATTTGACACCGTAGACCATACTATACTTGTTGGTAGACAGAGTCATGGTTATTTTGGTTTTTACCACACGGTGCTAAAATGGTTTTTAATGTTTTTTTTTTGTTCTTCGCGATCGGACACAATCTGTTATTATTGGTAACACAAAGAATACTAGAATTCGGAGTTCCGCTAGGGTTGATACTAGGACCTCTCTTGATCACGCTTTATACAGCAGATATTCAGGACAAGATCTCTGCTCATAACCTAGACTGTATGTTCTATTCAAATGATTCTCAACTTTACATTGATATTGATCCTCTTAATTGATCAACGTCTGGCCGTAAGCACCCTTCAGAAGTGTATTAGTTATTAAGTTATAGAATGGAACACCATCAATAAGTTAGCGTGCAATCCTAGTAAAACAGAGGTCATTAAGTTTAGTTCTCATTCGTCAAGAACCCAGTTCTTAGTGATTTTTCGATTGGCAACGCTGGAGTACAACCATCAGACCGAGTTTGTAATCTTGGTGTAAACGTAGATAGAGAGCTCAATGGTCGTCATCATATTAATGAAATGCGCAAAAAGGCTATGCTGCCGATTCGATTTATTGAATGATTAAGGAAGTATCTGAGCAAGAGGCACCTTAAGATGATGTTCAAAGTCGCTCTTGGATTATTGTAACAGCTTATACAGTGGCCTAGCAAGCCGAGAAATAGATAAGCTGCAACGTGTTGAGAACTGTGCCGCACCCTTGATTTAACGAATAAAAAGAACCGACCATATAACTCCTGTCATGAAAAACTTGTACTGGCTTACTATTATTGCAAACATCGATGTCAAAATTGTATGTGATTTGACTCCTCTCTATTTGTCTTCACTTCTTGCAAGTTCCGCTTCTGTTAGATTTCCTAGACTTATGGATATCGCTTATGCACCGAATATCTGGAAAAGTTTACTTCATCATATCAAATACTCTGAATCTGCATACACTTTTAAGAAACGTTTGAACACTTTATTTTTTTTCCATTCAGATTAAATTTACAATTGTAAGCGCATTGATAATTCTTTTAATAAAAACCCTTATTTTGAACCTTGTTGGAATGCGTCTGTACGAGAAGCTCGCGATAATCTAGTCCTTTTTAGAAGAGAACTTTAAATTTCCAAAGGTAACAAACGTTTACCCACACATGCATTAGGTATCATCTTTACGGGTTCATAATTTTGATCAGCTGTTAATATTTGTCGCGTTCAAGCCATTACAAATTGACCTCTGCAGTGTAGGACCGCGAATTTCCAATCATAATTTGTTGCCCTTTAAGCTCATCCTCCCTATAATTAGTCCACTGTCATCACCGGGTGAAATGAAGAGATCACTGGCAAGCCATAAACCAAGAGAATAAATCGCCCTTGCTGCAGTTTCATTAAATAAATGTGTAAAACTAAAAACGTACCTGGAAAGTTGAGGAAGATGGCGTAACTCTGTAAATTCCATCAGTTGCTTTGCTATCGATTCTCTTTATCTGGCTGCATGATTTTGAGACTGCAGAACAAAGTTTCTTACCATCAGTACCAGTTATATAAATGGTTTGTTTTGAATTAGGCATAGAAATTAAGGCAATGGACGTTGTGCTATCCGATCAGTAACTAAATCAATTTGAATGGACAGTCGAACCCCTCCACAACGGCCACCTTGGGGTCAGGAGAAAGTGACCGATGCGTAGAGGGATGTAAAATGACAATTTTTTAAGAGAGTACAACATGTCTATTTTCCTACATTCATGCTTGCTGTCCCCCATAATGATAATAATCTAGTCATAAATAATATATAGAGATAAAATACGCAAAAATCTTGAATTATGTTTTAAATCAAAATGTTAACAGGACAAAACGAGAAAGGTTCGCAACATCCGCTTTTTTCTTAGACAATTTATGCTTACTGCAGCAGTAAAAATCAGTGAAACAAAATCAAAATACGATTGCCACGGTTTATCATCAATACGTCATACGGATCAAATTTCATGACCGTTTTTGACTTTTTCATCAGTCGCTGAAAAAACTGGCCGTTGTCGAGAGATTATTTTCGCACTTGGGGACACGTTTTAGAGGCCGTTTCCCTTGTGGAGAGGTGGCCATTATAGGGAGGTTTCCATAAGAGTCAATGTATGGACCGGACTGTCCGTCTGGACAAAAAAAGTGGCTGTTGCTGAGAGGTGGCCGTTAGTGGAGGTTCGACTGTGCCTACAAGAAACCATAATCCTTTAACAGGGAGGGAAATCATATGGAATGGAACAAAATTAAAACATCTCAAAAGGAAACCAATATGGGTGTGGCCCAGTTGCTGAATCTAAACGTTAAAATTTACCTTGTTAAAATAGGCAGCCAAATAGAAGCTATAGATACTTTTAACTGCGTTAAATTTGTTGTATTTTAATTTTCCTTTTTCTTTCTTCCCCGTTTGCTTGTAAATAACGCAATTTGTCAAAATTTGGCGTGATTTGTCCTAAACTCCGAAAATTATGTAATTTACGACAACCCCCTCCAAGAGAGAAGACGAGCATCTATGCCCTTTTCATATGGCCGAAACGTCCGACATTTTCTATTTCCTTGTTTTCGTTGTCAAAGATCTTAGTACTTTTTAAATAATAGACCACTTGCAACGTTACCGTAAAAGCCTCGTGCAATTTGAAGTAAAATTTGCAGATACCCTGGCACGTTTTCTTGTTTCCAACAAAACCAGGTTTGCGCGTACAGAGATAAGAGCCTACTTTGTTCTGGCAGTTAGTATTCACATCACAAACGGAGGGGAGAGCGCTGCACTCATTGATATCCACGATTGGACAAAAAGATGCCTTTATACAGGAAGAAACAGTACAGTATAGAAGATACACGCTAACTAAAGCAAGACAATAACTTGAAACAATATTGAACCTGTGGAAGTCATGTCTGTAAAAATGAACAAAACACAACGACTTTGAGTAAGTTGTTTCATTTAAGTGAAGATATGTCTTGAAAGTATATGCACTTCATTTCACACTCAGTGCATTTATGCTTTTAGATAAAATAGCATTCGTGTACAAAGATAATGGTAAAAGGCTCGTTTGCACTACGATAGTACAGTTGTGAAGTGGGTCTCGATGATAATATGCTTGGTTTTAAATTTCTTACAACACCCATGATGCCATCCTCTCTTACGGTCGTTTAAGGATCTCACAAACCTTTACATTTCTTTATAGAAATTTGGGAAAGATCTATGTTATATAAACAGAGAATGAGTATTCTTTCACGGTGCTTGATGCTTGATGATGGTCGTAAAAGTCGAAACACAAACCTTTGCATGTTTTTCCATCACCAGAAAAGCCACCCTTGCATGCACAGCTGTAGGATCCACGAGTGTTCGTACACTGGGCATTGACATCACAGACGGGAGAAGAAGCTCTGCATTCATCAACATCTGTGCCAAAAAAGCGAAACAGCCAACTGAAACAAGCTTAAAATAATAACCAAGCGTAGTCACTACAGCTGGCAACACAATTAAACAAGGCCAAGGCTTGCAAAGTGGTTAGTTTCACAAAAATCACTGTGCTACGTCTGCTCAAGTTGGTTTGTTCGTTCACAAGAAAGCGGGGGACGGTCTACGTGCCGATAAACAAGAGCTGTCAAAGTCTAAACACAAACCTTTGCATGTTTTTCCATCACCAGAAAAGCCACGCTTGCATGCACAGGTATAGGATCCACGAGTGTTCGTACACTGGGCATTGACATCACAGACGGGAGAAGAAGCTGTGCATTCGTTAACATCTGTGCCAAAAAAGCGAAACAGCCAACTGAAATAAGCTTAATATAATAACTAAGCGTAGTCACTACAGCTGGCAAACACAATTAAGCGAGGCCGAGGCTTGCAAAGTGGATAGTTTCACACAAATCACTGTGCTATATCTGCTCAAGTTGGTGTGTTCGTTCACAAGAATGCGGGGGACGGTCTACGTGCCGATCAACAAGGGCCATCAAAGTCTAAAAACAAACCTTTGCATGTTTTTCCATCACCAGAAAAGCCACGCTTGCATGCACAGCTATAGGATCCACGAGTGTTCGTACACTGGGCATTGACATCACAGACGGGAGAAGAAGCTCTGCATTCGTCAACATCTGTGCCAAAAAAGCGAAACAGCTAACTGAAACAAGCTTAATATAAAACTAAGCGTAGTCACTACAACTGGGAAGCACAATTAAACGAGGCCAAGGCTTGCAAAGTGGATAGTTTCTCACAAATCACCGTACTATATCTGCTCTAGTTGGTGTGTTTGTTCACAAGAATGCGTCCCGGGGACGGTCTATGTGCCGAAAAACAAGGGCCGTGAAAGTCTAAACACAAACCTTTGCATGTTTTTCCATCTCCAGAAAAGCCACGCTTGCATGCACAGGTATAGGATCCACGAGTGTTCGTACACTGGGCATTGACATCACAGACGGGAGAAGAAGCTGTGCATTCGTTAACATCTGTGCCAAAAAAGCGAAACAGCCAACTGAAACAAGCTTAATAAACACAATTAAACGAGGCCGAGGCTTGCAAAGTGGATAGTTTCACACAAATCACTGTGCCATGTCTGCTTAAGTTGGTGTGTTCGTTCTCAAGAATGCGGGGGACGGTCTACGCGCCGATATACAAGGGCCGTCAAAGGTAGAAATGTGATGGAGAATTTTAAGGCTGGTGAATACATGAGAAAGGGGTTTTTGTCAGTCATTGACACACGCGGCTCGGAAGAAAACGTTCGAATACTCCCAATAGGAGTTGAACGTATGACCTTAAGGTTTCTAGTCCAGGTGCTACAGGGGCCTGTTTTAACAAGCGGATGGGATATTACTGCACTCGTTGATGTCAGTTTACGATTAAAATCAAAGGATTTTATAATATCTAGGGAAATTATAATACGGTGAAGACGGTATACCCTATGAAAAAAGGAACAGCAACTCAATATTTGACACATTGCTGCTTAAAATGGCAAAATGAACCTGTAAACTGATTCATTTTCTTAAAATTAAACACAGCGACTGAGGAATTGTACATAAATGATTTGTCTAATGAGTGAAAGTATTTGGATTTATTGCCATGTTAATTACCGAGTTTGTTGCTGCTTTTGAGAGAACAACTACGTCTACGGGGGAAAGCCTGTTGCTTTAAGAACATAGTGCAGGTTTAGAGTGGGCCTACTCTGATGATAACATGCTGGAACTCTTACATATCTCAAAAATAATATGGCCCGCATAATACCCTTCTTTCTTCATGTTCGTATTTTGTTTTCACTCACAAACCTTGGCAGGTTTTTCCATCACCGGAGAAACCAAGCTTGCATGCACAGCTAAAGGATCCACGAGTGTTCGAACACAGGGCATTGACGTCACAGACGGGAGAAGAAGCTTTGCACTCGTCAATATCTGAGCAAAGAAAATAAAAGCCAAATGAAACAAGGAACACTAGCTTACTGAGCTTCTTGATTGCAAAGCAAACCTGTAACTTAATCTTAACGTAGTTTATGACTATCAAGTTGTACGTTGTCCCTTCATCATGAGATCTTTACCGCATTCCTCTCCATCAAGGAAACACAACGGCATATAACCCTAGAGAGTCTGAGAATAAACTCTGCCTCCCTTTACCACGGACAAATTATTACAAAAATAGCTTTAGCTAAAGTGGCGCCACATATGGAACAAACTCTCGTGGAATGTGAGGAAAGCAGAGTCCCTTACGAAATTCAAATATCTTCTTAAACAAGTACTCTAGGGACCGGCATTCGTGGAAAGGCAGCTTTTTATTTTAATTAATATTTTTTATAATGTGGATAGTTTATAATGTTTTCTTATTTGAACTGTAATTTTTTGGCTGATGAGTTGACCGTTGATAAATAAAGATTATCTATCTATTACCTATCTATCTATCTATCTATCTATCTATCTATCTATCTATCTATCTATCTATCTATCTATCTATCTATCTATCTATCTATCTATCAATCTATCTATCTATCTATCTATCTATCTATCTATCTATCTATCTATCTATCTATCTATCTATCTATCTATCTATCTATCTATCTATCTATCTATCTATCTATCTATCTATCTATCTACAATGAAACGAGGTAGAGCCTTGGCGATACAATTTCATAAAAATCGCTATGATGACCAGTTAACTCGCCCAGGCGTAGAATTTGGTACTTTTTTCATAGGATTGTGGGAAGGATCTACGAAAGCCGATCTATGTTGTATAAACAGGGAAGCAGTATTCTTTCTAGGCGCTTGACATTTGATGGTTTTCTTACGAGTCTCCTACAAGCACAAACCTTTGCATGTTTTTCCATCACCAGAGAAGCCAAGCTTGCATGTACAGGTAAAGGATCCACGAGTGTTCGTACACTGGGCATTGACGTCGCAGACGGGAGAAGAAGCCGTGCATTCGTCAACATCTGAGCAAAAACAAGGAACAGCCAAATGATATATGCACCCCAAGCCTCTTGAGCTTCTCAAATGCAAAGCAAACCTCTAAAGTTAATACAGTATTATTATAGATTGTAGTTAATGACCATCAACTTGTTATTCCTTGATAAACCTTTCCTGCTACCCAGCCAGCAAAGGCAAGGCTTGATGGGAAAGTGTCTTGAAAATTACTACATATTTGATTGCCTTAAGTTTATTTATTGGTGTGAGGTATTTACGGAAAACACCTGAATTAAACAGGAATATTTTTCTGCCAATAAGGAACTGAACGTCTTGTTTGATAAGAAGTTTTCAGCTTACTTACCTTCGGACTTCATATCGCAATGGGCGAGAACAGTGAAACCAGGTTTAATGATACTCATCCAGTATTTCTTGCTTATGGCTTCTCCTTCACTTGCTTTGATCTCTTTACACGTTTCTGCTGGGAGCTCAGGAATGGAACCAAGAGGAACTGGAAGAAAAATTGGTCATTAATAAACTGCACTACCCTTTGGCAATGAATGTGTGTGAAGTACCTGTTTAAGCGCGAGCCTTTAGGAGGAGCCTTAAGAGACTTATCTGAATCTTTGCTAGTGACCACCTCTAGTGTCTTTCTTTTATGGGTGGTAGAGTCGGATTAGTGCTCATCCCATATATTCGATTGCGCTTTACAATATTGTTATATTTAATTTATTTTAAAGGTGACTAAAGCGTTTTAAGAAACTATTAAAAACTACAATAAAAGCTATTAAAAACTATAAAAAAAATACAGTAAAAGCCAACAATCAAATCTATTTAAAAGCTAAATTTAAAAAATGAGTTTTAACAGCAGTCTTAAAAGTGTCCAATGTCTTTATGTTGCGAATTGCCGAAGGTAACGCATTCCAGAGATAAACTAAGGTGCAGCTGACTGGAACAGTGCACGATCGCCAAGAGTTGGATGGGTCTTAATGCCAGGCAACTCGAGGAATATAGACTCTTGACCTTAGAGAGTACCTGGAGTTCTTTTTGATAGTAATTAATCAATTAAATAATTAGGAGCTTGACCATATAAGCACTTAAAAGTCAAAAGTAGAATCTTAAACTTTATACGGTAACTTATCGGAAGCCAATGAAGGTGGAAAAGCAATGGTGTAACATGGCAGAATCTTGGTGTTCCACTGACCAACCGAGCCGCGGCATTCTGTATCCGTTGGAGTTTCATGATATATGAATTCGGGAGGCTCATATAGTAGACTGTTACAATAATCTGATCTACTGGTTATAAAAGCATGAACTAATGATTCGGTGACTGATTGCGATTCTTAACGCATACTATAAAGATAATAGAAAGCGGATGAGCAAGTTCTATTGATAATTGACTTAGCATACTCATTTTACGAATCAATCCAGGTTCCCAGGTTACGAACTTCACAAGATGGAGCAATTTGGGAGTCGCCGACCGATAAGGTACTGATGTTACTGACTTTCTGAAGTTGTTGTCTCGTTCCAATCAGAAGCTTAAGACATTCTGTCTTATCCGAATTCAGTTTTAATTTATCCGAATGCATCCATTGACTGATATCAGCAATACATGATTCCATGTTTCCAAACAAACATGTGCCCCTATCCGAACTCATAGGCAGAAACGGTGTAGTTTAAGGTCCCTAATAAAGGATATATTTCGCTGTATAAGAGTACATAGTCCAAGAAGAGATACAGTAACTCTGTAAAACATAATTCTATAATTACCAACCTGTTAGTTCATTTTACCTCTATTCACGTCTCTTCTATAATAATATCTGTCTGGGTCTGGTACAAAGTCCTCAGGTCTGGCTTCTTTGGTTCTGTTACTGAACTCACACATGTCAAGGGAGATCACCCAGTTGAAACTCTGACATCTTTTGTCTTGACGACAGGTAAGTAAGCACTCATATCCGAAGTTTGCCATCATAGTCTTGTAAATGTGTCCTTGTAACTTCCAACCATAAATGGATTCCTCACCTTTTTTGCAATGTTCTGAAATCACCCTGTTGAATATATGGCTTAACAGAAAAAGTAATTCGATGTGGACTAGGTGCCTCATTGCCATTCAGATGGACAATGAATCCCCACTTGATTCTGGAAAAGGATGTCACTTACTTTTCAAAATCCTACAAACGATAGAAGTTGGTGCAAAGAGTTAGTTTATCACTTGAATGATAAAGAAAGTTGGCCAGCATAAGGAGATTTTAAATGATGGGTCCAATTAAGTTGAGTAAGCGGGCCATCCTAACGTCTGTTGTTCGACATGTTAAGCCCTCGGCCTGACTTAAGGTGGCCCGAGCCTACTTTTATGCACGTTGGTTATGTTTTTAAATCGCGTTTTTTGGCAAGAGTGATTTAACCGATTTTTATGATTTTTGCATCCTTAATAAAGAATAATTCAACTTTAAGAAAATGTCATTTATTTTCCTGTGGGTAAAAAAACGTTTGATATATAGGCAATATTTTAGACCGCATTTTTACAAAAAAAATTCCATGAATAACTTGGAAACTTGCCACTTGGGGATGAAAATGAAGAAAAATATGAAAAATGGCAAATGCCCGTGCGAATGTGATGGCAAATCTAACATTCAAGCTTGAATAAATTACCAGTTACAAGGGTTTTCGTTGCAGCTGAAAATGGATTGGTTGAAGTACTGAAGTTGGTGGCTTTATTTCTCCTCAAGACGGGAACCTTTCGGTGCTAAAAACTGGTAGGTGATTTCTGTAAATGCTATATTTTGCTTTGTTAAGATTTTTTTCGAAAAGAGAACTGCAAAAACACAGTAACTTTTGATAAATAGAAGTTCTTTAATCTTGCGCCGCATTCAGCATAAAGTAGTTCTTCTTGTATTGCGAACTGTATACGCCGTAGGTTTCTTGCAATTTAGCTTTGGGCAAGAATATCCTTGCAGATAGGAGATAATCCTTCGATACTTTTCCCTTATTTGTTCGTCAACTTTCACAAAATAAATTTGTTAGCGTTGCATTTTGAGGTCGAATTTCAGTTGACCAGCATTTTGTACAGTGAGTTCTACGGTCACGATTGACTTCTAACTTACAGGTATAAAAGTGGAGAGCTCTGAGACTTATTTGCTGAAGTTAAAGAAAAATCTGTCGTTAGGTAGTGTTTCGAAGTTATTGACACTTTTTGCAAAAATACGGTTTTAAACATATGCCGATATCTCAAGCGTTTTTATACCTACAAGAAAATAAATTTAACCGATTTCTATCCTAAAGTTGCACCATTTTTTATTAAGGATGCCAAAAATCATAGGAATCGGTTAAATCATTCCTGCCGAAAAAAGCGATTCAAAAACATAACCAATGGGCATATAAATAGGTCCAGGCCACCTTAAAACTGTATACTACTGCCAATTAAAAAAAGGGTTAGTCAAGCACAAAAACTTCCAATACGTCAAAAAAATTACTGTGTTATGTAAAAAAATTAAAAGTATAAGAGAGGAAAAAGAATATAAAAAAAAACATTTGAGTCTTTTTTAGTAATTATTGCAGTCCATAATATTTAATTCTATATCACTCACAGTATTTTCGCATTTGGCATTTAATGCCAAATTTCGATTCCGTGACCCATTTGTTTCCTCCCCTTTAAGGCTTTCCCAGTTTGTCAGCAGTCTGTGGTGCACGGGGTGTAACTTATCATTTGATATACACCTGACGCTTAAGAAAATTAATTATTCTGACAACTTTAAGTGACATATAAACTCATGCTACTTTATTCCGGTGACATTCTTGTTAGTCAGTTGCTTGTTGAAGCATTTAAAAAGAAAAATTATACTTAAAAACGTTACTCGCCTTTTCGATAATTTCTAACATCATTATCGAGAATAAGAAATGTTAAGTTTCAAAGTTGTTTAAGGGTTGAAGTTTAAATAAATTAGATTGCATTTGTGCATGCTTCATTATTATGTAGATTTCTTAATGGAAAAGATTAACATGAGTCGAGTCCGATTGCGCGTTCAGTGATGGTTTGCGTTCTTGTATAAATAGCATATCAGCATACAAGCTAGGCATTCGAATTTATTTTTGCATTTATTTCTGGTTTAAATAGATTCTGTTAATTTGTGGACATCCGCGTCGTGGTTTTCCTGATTCTTCAAGAATATGTCTGCGGTGCTTCATTTCAAAGAAACATACGGACTATATAGTGTTGTTTGAAAATTCATTAGTCCGCTTAATCAGATTCACCTATTTTTATAGGCTAATTTCCTGGGTTTGATATGTTTGAAAATGTATTTGCGGCATTTGGCGTTGTTAGGTCTTGGTAAAACTGATTTAAAAAAAGGGATGAAATTATCCCCATTTTTTTGAAACCCAACACCGTTCCTGCTGCAACATAACAGTTGCAAAATCGAAAAGAAATAATTTATTAGCTTTGACCCAAACTAGTCTTGTCAGGTTGAAATGACGCACAACTGAGAAAGGATTTACATTACTAACGTTTTCATGAAAAATATAGTTGTAGGTAACTGTGTAAATTTGTTCACTCTTGTAATTTGTGTGAGAAAATGACATATTTTGAGCCGATTTAGCTGGCTTAATTTCTGTCTTACTGGCCACAGTTGGCTTAGGTCTGTTGAGGGTAACCTAGTTGGAGGAGTTTGCAGTCTGTGCACTGCGTCAACGAGTCTTTGACTCATTTCCAGCGAATCCAACCTTCCAATTATCAGCCTACTTTACATTACCAATTTAAAGACACTATCACTGTTTAGAAATTCGCCACATCAAACAAAAAAGCTTAAGGACAAAGGCCGCAGTATAATCAGAAAATGCAACGCGTTTTGATTTCAGAATTGCTTCCTGAGAGTCGGTAATACTTACCTTATAGTTCTTCGGTACTGCTTACGTTTCTGTGGGCAGCGAAATACAGAGGCTTTCCCCACTTAATAAAGAGTGGTTGTTCTTCTGGTGGGTAGTTTATGACCGCTTGTTTCTTTTAAAAGTGCAGCTATTATCGGGGGCTTTTTGAAGAAATTGTCATAAAAGACGCCCGTAATCATTCTTAATGGTAAAGATATACGATTTCTGACGCTATGTATATAACACTTAATGTGCCCACTTAAGTAGGTCACTTACGAATCCGTTATGGGTACACTTACGGGGGTTGCATGGAACGCGCTTAGCACTCAAATTTGCATGCAAACGTTAACAAAGCGCATTAGAACGAATTACTTGAAGAAAAATACTTTTTTCACTTCTCAGAAAAAGAATGATCTTGTTAACTTTAGTAAAAACAGTAACGATACGGGACCTACATAGGTCCCGTAAATTAACGTGCTATTTTTCCTGTAAAAAAAGTCTTATGCAACACCCGTAATTTCTGTTGCATAAACGATCGACACCTAGTAAGTGAACACTTACGAAAATCGTAAGTGCACCCACTTAAGTGAATTCCCTAAGTGGACCACTTAAGTGATTTCATGCAACTGACTTAAGTTACGAGTGCACCTACGTATATCCGTAGTTGTTACGAACGTTTTATGCAGACAGATGTTTTCACGTTCACTAAACCAATGTTTAAAAATCCCTAAGTATCTACTCAGATCAGAGTAATAGTATTAATTGCATCGACCGAAATTGAAGAGGCCTTGCTATCGTAGAAGGTCAAACATTCTGCATTTTTCTAATGGCAAATGATGACAAAAGACAACCCAGGTGTTTGGGCAAATGGAAGGGGGGTGGCGTTGGGTTGGGTATGCACTACCCTTGTTTGGCCTGGCCAGATTTCCCGACTAAAAAGGGTATGGTTTTTAGGGTCAATTTCACTATAAATCTGGCGTCTTTGACAGGTTGTGTTTTTGGAACAGAAGAGTATGATGGCTGCAGATGAGCGGTCTACATTTGGCAACAACGTTTTTCCCAAGTTCTTTGAAATAACACACTTACGCAACTTAAGAAGAAAAAGCCTCATATAAACGTAAGTATAATTTGCAGCAAGAGATAAATAAGATACCTTTTCTTGTCTTAACGTCTCCAACAAAACTATAGGTTTGCCTGTATAGAAATATAAAGAGCCGACTTTGTTCTGCCAGGTAGCATTTACTGACGCAAATTACAACAATTGTCCCAGTAGGATCACTCACACAAGAATATATACCGCCCTGCTCGGTTGTTAATAGTGACCACGACGGCATTTTTGCCTGTGGGTTTGAAACGTTCGACGAGAACATTAACAGGTACAAGTTTATAAGCTACATGAAGAATTTCGATGAAACGGCCTTTGTCAATGAGTTGAACTTTTTGTTTTGTTGAGTTTATGGACTTTTTGGATAAAGATAGCAAGATATCCGGCTTACAGAGTGGAAATAGAAAGTTCCACTCCACTGAAACCGCATTACTGCATTACACGGACCAGCTCCGTAAGAAAATGGATGAAAAACATATCTCGGTTGTTGCGCTGCTCTACATGTCTAACGCTTTCGACAGCATCCAGCATGACAACTTATTATCAAAACTGCACTTGCTGGGTGTGTCGGCCTCCGCTCTAGCCTGGTTTAAGAGTCACCTATCATTACGCAAGCAAGTGGTCAGGCTTGGCAGTGACCTATCGGCGCATTATGCCGCGTGCGATTTACTAGCGCCTTGGATGGAAACTGATCGAAGAGATTGGATCACTTCAAAATGAGAAGGAATGAGAAGGATGAGCTGGGGTGGGGGGTGCTGCCCATAGAACACAAAGCACAGCAGCTTGGGATGCATTTCGTCATGTTAGGAATAAGTTGAAAAGAACCATTCGCGTAGCACGCGAGTAATTCATTTCAAAGGCTTTATCCTCGAAAAAACCCGAGGAAGTCTGGAATTCAAGTTATTCATCGTATCCTGAAACCAAGTCAAAACACAATTAGGTATGAACCTGATGTTTTAAACAGATTCTTTGTGGGAACCGCAGAAAGAACTCTGGGCACGTACAATTAACTTAACAATTCTTTCTGAAGGCCTGCTCAGTGTGATAAAAGACTCGCTTGCACTTGAAAATGACGCTTCGAGGGTTCTACTGGGCTAGACCCAATTCCCGCGAGATTCATAAAGCAAGTGTAATAGGGAGTCCTCACAGCAATATAATTAACAGTTCAATTTCGAAATCGATGTTTCCCAGGATATGGAAAGTGGGCAGTGTCAGTCCAAAGTTATTGAGAAACTTGTTGGACGTCAAATAGTTGATTACATCGAATTTAATCAATCTTTAAAGCAAACTATCGCTGAATTCAGCAAAGGACAATCAACCGCTACCGTGCTACAACGCATCAGAGATAACATTATCAGAGCCATGAAAAAGGGCGAACTTACCTTTTAATTGTATTGGCCGATTACTCGATAGCATTTGACACTGTATAGAACTCTGTTGTCATCCAGGTGTTTAAATTGGGATTCTCAAAATCGTTTCTATATTGGATGAAAAACTACCTATGTGATGGCTTTCAGTACGTCCAAATTGATGATAAGAAATCGTTACTGGAACATTTACATTTCGGGGTTCCCCCAAGAGTTAATTATAGGCCCCTTATTGTTTAACATATATACTGCCGATCTGCGGGATAACCTCCGTGACTCCATTTCGTGTTATCGATACGCTAATGATATTACGTAACGGATATAAGAGACATTTTAAACCTGAACTGGCTCCCAGCTGAAGAGGAAAGGGGCTTTAATTTTCTTAAGTTGACTTTTAAAGCATTTCACTCTAAACTGTGGCCTTCATATTTAAACTGACAACGAGTATCTATATGTAGAAGTTTGCACTCTTCAGGCTCTATAAGATTACAAGTTCCTCTGTAAAAAGGAACCCTCCAGGACATTGCAGCTGTCCTTTTTAACAACCTTCCTGATAATCTTAAGTAGTGTGACGGTTTTAATCTATTTAGTTCGCGCATTTTTAATTCTTAAAGAACCGGGTACAGCCCAGCTTATCCTAGGGCTCGTTCATACCGAGATTGCTTAAAATGAGATCGATCTCAGACCGATCTAGATCGCTTCTGAGGTCGTATGAAGACCTGTTCACACTGAAGCCCTCTAATAAAGAAAATAATTCCTAACTAGGGAGGACTTAGCAGCAGTTTGTTTACCCTCTAGCTTCGAGTGAGACCACTGGGCTTTCTTTTTCGTGTGTTTCCTGACTTTTCAGCGTATATCGAGTTATAGATGCACGCGGAAAAAAGTTGGGAGAGAACGAAAAAGCGTAAGAGTTACGTCTTGAGCAGCTCTAGCTTCTTGAGTGCTCTCCAAATTTGCCTTAGTACATAGCTAAGAAAAACGCTTGCTTGTTGATCGCTAATTCAATTCTCGTAACGCGCGGCACAGAAAAACAAACGCTTCTGTTGGCTGGTCACAAGCACCCCACGATAGCCTAGTTTGAAAAATTTTTTTTCTTGTAAAACTGACAGTGAAAAGTTGCTTTAAGACGGAATCCATCAGGATTAATTTTTGGTGGACAAAAACATAACCTTGTTCCAGAATAATTTAAACGATATCGCATTCCTTTTTACATTTTTCAAGGCTGTAGATGTAATAAGTCATCTGTAATAACAGCCTGGGTTCGACCCGGCTATTAAAACAAGCATCAGAGGCCATTTATACCTTCTCCCAGAGAGATCGTTTAGTGTTATTCACTGTGGCAACCTGCATACACGGATATGCTAGTCGCCATACCACACATTGGATTTTTCAAGGGTATTCCTGCGGCTTTGGAACAGGTTAATGATCACATGATTGACACCAGTAATGACAGGCGGATTACGAGCCTTTTTACTGGTGGTTCTCATCATCGCAATCTAAGCACGTTTTATCGTGCAGAATCTATTTCTTCAGGGGAAAGGTATCCGCAGCATGAGCCAAAACTGTCATTTTTTGGTGCTATTCAAAAACCCTCGCGACAAATAGCAAATCTTGACTCTGGCCAAGCAAATGTATCTCGGGCAGACTGATTTATTTTTAAACCAGTATGAAGAGGCTGCGAAAAGACCCTTTGGTTACCTGCTGATCGATCTGAAAACCACCACACAAGATAACTGTCGACTACGAACAAACGTCCTGTCCAGTGGAGAAGGCTTTAACCAAGCTTGTTTTCAAGAAAATATTCCTCAAGAGCTCGTGAAATATATAAAGCGCAAAATCTTTCGCTTGTCCTGCTTCTTCCAGCTATTCAAGAGATACACGGCAACATGGATGACGTGCTTTCTCGAAACACTGAAGATCTTCGGGATGATGAAAAAGCTAAGCGATACTTTCAGTTGCAAAACAGGTACCTCTTTCAAAGAACAATTAAATACAAGCTTAAGGTGGCTCGACTGGATTTTTTTAGGGGGATACCTCCCAAGTTTGAGCCTTAAATACGTCGGCATGAGTAAAGATATGGAAAAAAGGTTACCACAACTGTATTATATAAAGATGAAAATTTCTTATGATCTGGGTTTTATTGCAATCGGAGTCGCCATGGCAACGTAATGACGCCATTACGTTTTTCATTTATTGTTGTGTTTCTCTGTACCAGGAGTTTTTTTGAAGAAATCGCTTAAGCGAGTATGTACCCGCCATAATTGCCTCCATTATGGCAAAGTTTGAAGAAATTCTATGAGAGCGTTTTCGAAATATTTTGAAATGCAGTTTTAAGAATCATAAAAACAGTGAAATAGCATGCTAGCCGCACAATTCGCTAATATTTTAAGAAAATGATAAGCTTTGGGAACGCAGCTTCATCTCATAGTGGTTTGATTCCATTGAAAACTGCATACAAAAAAAGAGGGGAATTGCTCTGGGCGATCGCGATTAAGAAGGATTTTATTAACTTGCATTCAGCTGCTTTTGATACAGTTTTTAGAGGTAATTTGGTCCATGCCTAAAAATTTCGCATTTTTCCAAAAACCGCTCAATAAATTTTTTTATAAATTCGAGATCAATCGTCAAGAAATATTCTCTGCAAGTTTTGAGAACATTGAAATCAGGGAAGGCTTTTAAATAGGGCCTCAAATATAGCCAATTTTCCCCCTAGATTTTGTG